CCAGCTGACACCAGCACAACACCCAATCACACAGGCCCTGTGGAGGAGGCCCCTTCTACAGGAAGCAGCAGTGCTGTGACACCGGAAAACAGGTGAGCCTTAACCAATGGGGAAAGGATTCCCTATTCAATAAATGGTGCTGGGATAACTGGCTAGCCATGTGCAGAAGAACGAAACTGGACCCCTACCTTTCACCATATAAAATAACTCAAGATGGCCTGATCTAGTACATGCAGAAGCCTCTGCAGATCTTACCATTTTCTCATTACATTTTGCAGGTGTTTCATCAATTTTAAGAGCTACTGATTTTAATTTTATTACAATTATAAATATAAAGCCACCAGCCATATCTAATACCAGATACCACTATTAATTGCAGCTGTGCTTTTATTACTCTCTCTCCCAGTACTAGCAACCAGCATCACCATACTGCTGACAGACCATAACCTTAATACACTTTTTTTGATCTAGCTGGAGGAGGAGATCTACTTTTAGACCAACATTTATTCTGATTTTTTTGTCTATCCAAAAGTGTACATTCTTATTTTACCAGGTTTTGGAATAATCTCACATATTGTTACCTATTATTCTGGAAAAAAAAGAACCATTTGATTATATAGAAATAATATGACCCATAATATCGATTTAGCTCATAAGCTTTATCGTATGAGACTACAATATATTTACAGCAGGAATAGACATTGATACCTGAATGTATTTTACACTAGCTACTATAATTATTGCTATTCCAACAGAAGTTAAAGTATTTAACTGACTAGCAACCCCACAGGGAGGTAATATTAAATGATCTCCAGCTATATTATGAGATTTAGGCTTTATTTTTCTGCTGACAGTTGGAGGCCTAACAGGAACTGTTCGAACTCATCAGCAGACATCAATCCTTATGATACATAGTATGCTGTAGCACATTTCTAACATGTTCTATCGATAGGTGCAGTCTTCACCATTACAGGATTTATTCACTGATTCCCATATTTTCAGGTTATACACTCAACCTCAGCCAAAATCCATTTTGTATTTGTAGGTGTTAGCCTGACTTTCTTTCCACAACATTTGATTTATCAGACATGCCACGACAATACTCTAACTATATTGATGGATATACAACATGAAATATCATCTGCTATGGTTTGGATGTGGTTTGTACCCACCAAATCTCATCTTGAAATTCAGTTCCCAGTATGGCATCCTGGGAGATGGGGTTTAGTGGGAGGTGCTTGGGTCATGGGGGCTGGTCCCCAGAGAACAGATTAATGCCCTCCCTCAAGGATGACTGAGCTCTCGCTCTACTAGTTCTCAGGAGAGCTGTTTAAAAAAAAAAAAAAAAGCCTGTCACCTTTCCCCTCTCTCACCATGTGATCTCTGCACACACTGGCTCCCCTTCACCTTCCATCATGAATGGAAGCGGCCTGAGGTCCTCACCAGAAGCCAAACAGACAAGAGGTGCCATGCTTCTTGTACAACCTGCAGAACCACGAGCCAAATAAACCTCTGGTCTTTATAAATTACCCAGCCTAGGGTATCCTTGATAGTAACACAATATGAACTAAGACGCCTATTACACTTGAATTAGTTTTACCATAACACTTTGAAAAGTGATCAGCATTTATGTTTAAATACCAAAACTAAAAACATCCACATAACTTTTTTCAGTAATTCTAGTGCTGTTTACTTCAATTAAAATTTTTGAAATATGCCTATTCTTAAAATCCATCACCAAAGAACACTGAAGGCTTAAAACATGAGACCCCCTTGGGAAAAAGGCAAGCTATAATTTATTTACATCTTTCACTATTCCTACAACATTAGGACCATTTATTTATATTCTAAACATTTCATTCCCAAACATCATGTTTTCTACCCCCAATTGCCAAATCCATAATAGTCTCTTTTCAACAATGATTAGCACAACTTGTACTAACATAATAATATATAATGTCAAAGGATGTTATTACCAATAACACCTCTTAAAGCACAATTTCAAGCAACCGTCCTTTTTGACCACCACCACTTAAGTTACCAGATCATTTACCTTTATACCACCCCTCCAGCTTTCTTCCTTTCTTTCATTTCCTTCCTTTCTTTCCTTCCTTCCTTTCTCTCTCTCTCTCTTTCTTTCTTTCTCCTTCTCTCCTTTCCTTTCCCTTTCCCTTTTCCTTTCCTTTCTTTTTTTTTTTTTTGACGTGGTCTTGCTGTTGCCCAGGCTGAAATGCAGTGGCGTGATCATGGTTCACTGCAACCTCGACCTTGGGGCTCAAATGATCCTCCCACCTCAGTCTCCAAAGTAGCTAGGACCACAGGCATATGCCAAAATACCCTGTTAATTTTTATTTTAAGTAGAGATGGAGTTTTGCTGTGTTGCTCAGGCTGGTCCCGAACTCCTGGGCTCAAGCAATTCACCCACCTTAGCCTCCCAAAGTGCTGGGATTACAGGCTTGAGCCATCATGCCCAGCTTACCACCATTTTAAAGATTCTCCTTTGAAAACAAAACAAAACAAAAACAAAACAAAAAGATCTCCTGATTCTGTGGTTCACCCTGCAGTGGACAGGAGCTGCAGTGGACAGGAGAGTGGTAACACTTCTCAAGAGGTATGCACGCTTCCTGTCTATACCTTTTGCTTTTCTTTCTCTCCTACCACCATAATTAACATTTTGCCATATTTCCTTCCTAAATTTGTTCCATGGATTTTTATGTAGTTGAAATAATACTGCATATACAAACTGTAATCACATTTCTTTCCCCTAATTATTACAGTGTTCTTAAAACCTTCTAAAATATTTGTAAACTCTATTTGTAACTTTGAGGGCTCCTCAAATGGGCCTTCAACAGTGCCTGGTGAGTTAATTCACTGTCCCACTCTAGTTTTTATTGTTGACTTACTTCTTTCTCACTCTCTTTTAAATACTCTCCAATGAGGTTTTTGTTCCTCTCATTTCCAAACCCACCTTGTCAGGGTCACCAACACCCTTCATCTTGCCAAATCCAATAGCCAGTTTTCAGCCTTCCTCTTACTTGAACTCTTAGCGTTCTCTCTCTGAGTTAACTGCTTCGTCCTTTTGTCAGTTGGCTTCCAATACACTGCATTCCTTCTTCCTAGGTCACAGGTTACTCAGGTTAGTCCTCAATTTCCTTTGCTAGATTGTTCCTGACTGAATGTTGGAACACCCTATGGTTCAGTCCTTGAACTGTACCTTGCCTTCCATCTAAACCAATTTGCTCCATAACCTCATTCAGTTCCTCGGTACAGAGATTAATCCTGTATTTATCTCTTCAGTCCTGACTATCCCCTCCACCCACAGGCTTCCAAATGCTTATCTAACTTCACCACACGGATATCTAACGAGCATATCAAATACATAACTCTTGACTTCCTTCTCCAGCCTTCCAAACCCTGAGGCCTCTATTGCCAATCTTCAAAATAACTCCATTATGAAGGTATTAAATCTACTTTCAAAATATTACCTGTTTTCATCACCTCCACATATTAAACCCAATTCCAAGTCACTGTTATCTCTAGTGTGAACTTCTGAAGTAGTCCTCTCATTAGTCTTCCTGCTTTCTTTCTTTTTTTTTTTTTTTTGAGACGGAGTCTCGCTCTGTCGCCCAGGCTGGAGTGCAGTGGCCGGATCTCAGCTCACTGCAAGCTCCGCCTCCTGGTTTACGCCATTCTCCTGCCTCAGCCTCCCGAGTAGCTGGGACTACAGGCGCCCACCACCTCACCTGGCTAGTTTTTTGTATTTTTTAGTAGAGACGGGGTTTCACTGTGTTAGCCAGGATAGTCTCGATCTCTTGACCTTGTGATCCACCCGTCTCGGCCTCCCAAAGTGCTGGGATTACAGGCTTGAGCCACCGCGCCCGGCCCCTGCTTTCATTCTTATCCTCACTGTCCACATAGCACTCAAGAGTGACCTTTAAACAAAGATCCTTTACTTATCTGCAAAAAAATCAGCCAGGGGCTCCTGATCACACTTAGAATAAAATCTCACCGCTTGCAACAACCAACAAGGTCCTGCATGATTTGACCTCTGCCTATTTCTCTGACCTCACCTCGAATTTCCACTTTCAGTAGCCACACTGGCCTTCTTGCTGATTCTCAAACAAGTGAAGCTCCGTGTCTCTCAGGATCTTCTCTTCCCTCTGCCTGAACACACATTTCCCTGATTTATAGCCAACTTTATTCAGGTCTCAATTCAAATGTTACCTCCCCAGAGCTATCATTCCTGGTCCTCCTAACCTATGAACATAGCAAAGTCTCAGCAGGTATGTGCTGGCTAGAGATACTTATCCAAGTTTAACTATAAAAGAGCAACTGGGAAAAAACATAATTGGAAAAATAGATAAAAGCATTGTGGCCAAGAGACTAGACCAAAGGTAGCTCCCTTATTAAAACAAAAATGGAATGTAAAACAGAAGAGTGGCAAATGGGAGTTGGGAGGGAGGTTCCACTGGGAACTCACAGACATAACCTTCCTGCTCTCCCTACGTCTCAAGCCTTCTTTCCACAGGCCTTTGAAGAGAGCTTCATGCAGACACGTCAAAGTGCTGCCACCTACAGATCAGCTGTACTATTAGCAATAGCTGACACTGACCAGCCCTTATTCACCTGAGCTCTGTCTTCTTGTCATGGTTCTCATCAGCATCCAGGGCTCCTTTCCTTGCTCTAGTAAGGAACATACATTTGGCTTAGGGACTGCACATCCAGCTTAAAAGAAAGGAAATGGTACATGGTCATGCTAGGGGATTCCCAGATTCAAATCTAGTCCATTGGCCATCAAAGAAGGGAGACACTGACAGGAAGAGACAGAGAAAAATGTGACAGTCTAAAGGATAAGAGATAAAAGGTACACAGTGGAGCTGTCCATTTCTCCTTCTACTCAAACGTAAGCCTTTCCTCAGGGAATGGAGATCAGAAATTCACAATGAATGAGGCAGAAATTATGGGGAACAAATTCTGAATATTATGTAGGATGATCTTACCCAGTGAGATCAGGTTGCTGTAGTTCTCCAACATCACATCCCTGTACAAGTCCCTCTGAGCAGGGTCCAGGCACTCCCATTCCTCCTGAGAGAAGTCAATGGCCACATCCCTGAAAGTCACCAACAACTGAAACAAAAAATCCATTACTTGTGAAAATACAGCAATGATTCTGAAGTGAAATGAGAAGAAAATGGAGGAGGTAATTGAAGGAAGCAAGTAACACTTTTGTGTTACTTTTTTGTGTTGTTTTCAACAGGAAATTGGTTGCCTAAACCATAGTATTAACATGATTCTCTATCATTCCTATTGCCACAGATAAAACTTCCTGTGTACAATAGAACAATTCCATTATCCAAAAAGGTCTGAGAATTTAAAACGCCAAATGTCCAGATGTGTGCAGTTTCTTGATTAAATAAAATACTGCATGCATTTATTTCACAGCAGATTTTAACTGCACAGCAGATTAAGCTTTCAAATCCTCAATAACTAATATACTCTCAATCAATACAAGTTCTTGCTCTCCCTTCTGCCTTTAAAGACTTTTAAAAAGATGAATTTTTTCCAATGTTTAACAAATCCCTAGGTTAGAAAATAAAATTTGAATATAACCTAAGAATTTTTTGAAGACTCAGATTCATCAAGTTATTATGTCACAGAATAGAATGGACATATGATATTTCCATTTTATGTACAAAATGATCTGCTTATTTGGGAGTATTTGAATTAGACAAATTCTCTAATGTCTTTGAGCTCTTAGAATCTATAATTCTTGAGAGTATGCATCTGGCATGTTTTATTTGCTCCTATTTTCCCTGTTCCTAGGCTACAGCAAGGTACTGGATGCCAGTCCAGGCACACAGAGACATCACTCTGAACTGGTACATTCCGGGAAATCGCAAGGTGAACTTGACTATGATCATCCTCTCTCATTGGTTCCTGGGCAAGAGGGTTGTGGAAGGCAGAATAAAGGCCCCCCAAACATGTCCACAACCTAATCCCTGAAACAGTAACAGTACTGACTCAATGTTAAAGAAAAGCTTGCGGCCGGGCGCGGTGGCTCAAGCCTGTAATCCCAGCACTTTGGGAGGCCGAGACAGGCGGATCACAAGGTCAGGAGATCGAGACCATCCTGGCTAACATGGTGAAACCCCGTCTCTACTAAAAATACAAAAAACTAGCCGGGCGAGGTGGCGGGCGCCTGTAGTCCCAGCTACTCGGGAGGCTGAGGCAGGAGAATGGCGTGAACCCGGGAGGCGGAGCTTGCAGTGAGCTGAGATCCGGCCACTGCACTCCGGCCTGGGCGACAGAGCGAGACTCCATCTCAAAAAAAAAAAAAAAAAAAAAAAAGCTTGCTTGCTTAAATATAATTATTACTTTGCTTGACTTTGTAGATTATTCAGTAAGAACAGTCTCAGGAAAACAGGACCTTCAACAGAGATAAGAGAATTAAAATACGCAGACTAACAACTCTGGGAATGGGCTGACCGGCCTGATAAGAATAGGCTGACGGCACCTACAGAAGGCCACAAAACACTGATCAAGAAAGTAATGACCTGAGACTGCACATTTCACAAGAATGTTTTGATCATCATTTTTCCTAATTTCCCTTAAAATCCCCTGATATGGAGACAGAACTCAGTGGTCTTTGAACACTAGTTCACTGCCTCCCCTGAGTTGCTGGCTTCCTGAATAAAGCTAACCTTCCTTTCACCAATGCTCATCTCTTGAGCTTTCAAGTGGCAAGTAGTCTGGACCTGAATTTGGTTACAAAACCTATGTATACCTTACCTTACATGGCAAAGGGGACTTTAGAAGTGCAATTAAATTAAGGATCTTGAGAGGGGGTTATCCTGGATTATCTGGTTGGGCCCAATGTATTTATAAGTGATAGAGGGAGGCAGGTGAGTAAAAGAAGGAAATGTGATGATGAAAGCAAAGGTCGAAATGTGATTGCTGGCTTTGAAAACAGATGGAAGCCACACCCCAGGGACCGTGGATCGCCTTTAGAACCAGAAAAAGACAAGGAAACAGATTCTCCAGTCTTCTAGAACCTCCAGAAGGAACATGGCTCTGCTAATACTATGATATTAGCCCTTTCAGACTGATTTCAGACTTCTGACCAGCAGAAGTATAAATCATAATTATACTGATTTAAGCCACTAAGTATAGTGGTTATTAGTAACAGCAGCAACAGGAAACTATATCAGGAACAAGAGCCCTTCCTTCACAGGACCCTGTTCCCATTCAATCCTCAAAGTTTCACGGAAAATCCTGCCACACACTGAGACTAGGAACATCCAACAAAAAAATGCTGTCACTTTCAAGTGGAAAACGCAAGTTTATAGAGAAGACCAAACTTTGTCATGTGTCACATTCAAACACTCATCTCTACCTCACCAAACCGTGGTACTAACGTGTACCATTCTTAAAAGGAGGTATTTCTTTTCCCTCAGAGCTCTGGGAAGAAGACTATGCCTGTAGACAATGCAGAATTATCTGCTGAATGAACATCTAAAAACTGTTTGGAGAGGGGAAAAGCACTGAGAAGAATTGGGCTCTTTGCTACTATTACTCACTAGAATGGGAGACTTTGGCAGCAGTTCCCTTAAGGGACCAAACAAGGCAGGAAATTCTGGGATAAATAAATCTGGTGTTCACATTACACAACAAAATGATTGTACTTCAAGAAGGAAAGAAACAGCAACTCACGTGGGGCATGGTTTTTTAGAATTGTCAGAACTGATCGATTTTCTGGGTTCCTTTCCTGGAGGTGTGCAAAGTCCAGAGAAGCCAGTGCTGGAGAAGGAAAAAAAGCCACAAGATTGAGTTGGCTCACAGCCCACAAAATAAAACTACTTAGAACTACCTTTACTTCTCCTCTTTTGGGAATTTGGAAAAAATCTCAGTCCTTCCACAAACCCAGTGGAAGCCAGCTACTGCAGAAGGGGTTCAGGCCAGACCTTTCCTTAATGTTCATGTTGAACAGGACCCTAGGTGCTGTTACTTTCCCATGGCATCTTCACCTCCACAGTAGAACAGGGGCATGCCCAGGGAGCCCCCCACCATCCCCCTGGACCCAAAGTGAGGTGCTTTGCTCCCAATCTTAGGAAGGCGCTTCAGAGACCAAAATGTGGCCTCCTTTCAGACATCATGAACATCAGCTAGACTCACAGACATTTTGACAGACACATCAGAGTCAACAGATCCAAAACAGTCTCATCCCACTCCCCTGAAGCTAGTTCTTTTTTGCCTGTTTACTCTTCCCTATAAAAGAAAATTCCTTTATGCCTGACCTTTGCTATGCTTGCAGATCTTACGGTTGTAGTGTTCTTCCAATTACAACACCTCTTCCCTTACTGCAATGTTTCTATGAATAAATAGTCATTCCTTACCTAAGTCTGGATTTGTTTATTTCACAGGTTGAATAACTTTTGTAGAATAACAAAACAAACTATTTTAACTGTAATCTAATTCTCCAAGCCATGGCACACACAAAAGCACTGAGGGTCAAATATGAACAACATTCACATGACAGCCAATGTGGGCGCAGCACGCCACCTCGTGCAATATGACTTCAAGATTGAGCATTCTCCAACTACAGCCATCTACCTGCCATAGTTTTGTAGCACTGATCCTTTTTTTTTTTTTTGGTAGCACTGATCTTGCGTACATGTATAATCCATGAACTTAACATCAGTGTTGCTCGTGTGATACCAAGAAAACCCGGTAAGAGAGCAAGTAAATAATTTAAGTAAGATTTTGTTTGGTATAGTTGAGCTTTGAAGCGCCAAAAGCCACTGTACTATCTAAGATTTTGTCCTCCCCGCTAACCAGTTTTCAACTCCGTTGAGGCAATATCATCTTCATTAAGGATACATGGGTTGGCTGCGTGTGGTGGCTCATGCCTGTAATCCCAGGGAGGCCGAGGCAGGCGGATCACTTGAGGTCAGGAGTTCGAGACCAGCCTGGCCAACATGGCTACTAAAAATACAAAAATTAGCCGGGCATGGTGGTGCACGCCTGTAGTCCCAGCTACTTGGGAGGCTAAAGCAGGAGAATCACTTGTACCCAGGAGGTAGAGAGGTTGCAGTGAGCCAAGATCACACCACTGCACTCCAGCCTGGGTGACAGAGAAAAAAAAAAAAAAAAAAAAAAAAAAAAAAAAAATCCCATGGGTTAAAATTATATATATAAAATGATATAAAGATGTTAATCTCTGCAAGTTAATAGGATATTTGATACATGATATACAAATTAACTATGACCCCAATAAAAATACAAGTATGAAAGCAGATATATTCAATTTAAATTCAACAAGCAAGAATATTAAAAAGCAAGAATTGGAAGAAAATGCCTGATAATAAAGACAGCAGAGATTTCAGAATACCACTCCTATCATTAAAATGTTGGATACTGTAAAAAAGAACGAAATCATGTCCTCTGCAGCAACATAGATGTGGCTAGAGGCCATTATCCTAAATGAATTAACACAGAAGCAAAACCAAATACCACATGTTATCCTTTATAACTGGAAGCTAAGCACTGGGTACACATGAACATAAAGATGAGAACACTGACACTGGCAACTACTAGAGCAGGGAGAGGAGGAGGACGGCAAACGATGAAACCTACCTGCCTATCAGGTATCCTGCTTACTAACCGGGTGACTGGATCATACCCCAAACCTCAGCATCACACAATACACCATACAACAAACCTGCACATGTACCCCCTGAATCTAAAATAAAAGTTGAAATTTTATTTTTAAAAAGTTGGATACTGCATATGAATGGAAAGAAAAGATTAATGTAACAGAATAGAATCCCTGATCTCTGGGGAAAGGTGGATTATTCAGTAAATATTATTGGAGAAAGGTAATATTGGAACCCCATTTTATACCACATACCAAAATTAACTCCAAATATATAAGATATCTAAATATTAAAATATGAAATTGGCAGGAAGTGGTAGCTCATGCCTGTAATCCCAGCACTTTGGGAGGCTGAGGCAGGTGGATCACCTGAGGTCAGCAGTTCGCGGCCAGCCTGGGCAACGTGGTAAAACCCCGTCTCTACTAAAAATACAAAAATTAGCTGGGTGTGGTGGCAGGTGCTTGTAGTCCCAGCTACTTGGGAGGCTAAGGCAACAGAATCGTTTGAACCCAGTAGGTGGAGGTTGCAGTGAGCCGAGATCATGCTACTGCACTCCAGCCTGGGCGACAAGAGCAAAACCCCATCTCAAAAAAAAAAAAAAAAAAAAAAAAATCAAAAAAATGCTAGAAGGAAAAATAGACTGTGTCCTTCTTAACTGCGGACACAGTTAAGAGGGGAAAATTCTGTGTCTCACAATCATATGAATAAATATTACTATATTTAAAAATTGCCTAAAGGAATACAAACACAGACAAATGACAAAATGGGAGAAAATATGCACAACTTAAATCAAAAACACAGTGTCCTAAAATCCAAAGAGCTGTATTTTAAAAAACAAGAGAAAACAATCAAGAGAAAAATAAAAGATCATTATTTAAAACAGGCAACAGATAATTCATAAAAAAAGAAAAGTCAATGGCCATTCAACATTTAAAATATGTTCATCCTCATTTAAATAAGAGAAATTCAAATTGAAACTAAATTGAGAAGACTTCTGAATCCAATATCATTAAGATCCTATTGGACTAAATTCCTTGAAGATACACCTATCAGATCTGGACATAATACAAAAAGCAACTAACTGAAGGTGCTGGCCAATAAACTGAAGCAGTATTCCTGCAAAAAAAAAAAATGCAAAAATTAGCTGGGTGTGGTGGTGGGCACCTGTAATTCCAGCTACTTGGGAGGCTGAGGCAAAGAATTGCTTAAACCTGGGAGTCGTAGGTTACAGTGAGCCAAGATCACGCCACTGCCCTCCAGCCTGGGCAACAGAGCGAGACTCCATCTCAAAATTTAAAAAAAAGTACACTTGAATTGAATCACGAGGAAATATCAAACACATACAAACTGAGGAACAATCTACAAAGTAACTGGCCTGTGCTTTTCAAAAAAGTCAGGATCACAAAGGATCAAAGAAAAGTCCAGGAACTGTTTCCGATTAAAAGAGACTAAAGAGATGTTTTAATTAAATGAAATGTTTGATCCTAGATATGATTTTGAATTGGACACCAGATAAGGGGCAAAAAAGGCTTATAAGGGGCTGAGCGCAGTGACTCACGCCTGTAATCCCAGCACTTTGGGAGGACAAGGCGGGCGGATCACGAGGTCAGGAGATCAAGACCATCCTGGCTAACACAGTGAAACCCTGTCTCTACTCAAAAAAAGAAAAAAAACAAAACAAAAAATTAGCCGGGCATGGTGGCAAGCGCCTGCAGTCCCAGCTACTTGGGAGGCTGAGGCAGGAGAATGGCGTGAACCCAGGAGGCGGAGCTTGCAGTGAGCCAAGATCTCCCCACACTGCACTCCTGCCTTGACAGAGTGTGACTCTGTTTCAAAAAAAAAAAGGCTATAAGGACAAAATCGTAACAATTGGTGAAATTCTTCTATGAACTCTGGATTAGATAGTTATCACTTAACTCTGCTACACTTCTTTGTTTTAATAAATGAACTGTAGTTATAGTCCCCGTGCTCAGAAAATACACTAATTATAGATAAAGGAAAATGATGTCTGAAAACTACTATCAAGTAGTTCAGAAGTATATATGTAGAGAGAATTAGCAAACAAAAAAGCAAAATGTTAAAAAACTGATAAATATGTAAGGGCATAGGAGAGTTTTTTCTACTATTTTTGCAACTTCTCTGTAAGTGTAATATTATATCAAAATAAAAATTTCTAATTTTTAATTAAAAGACTAAAGAGGCATAACCAAATGTAATCCATGAAACTTAAATATAGCAAAAAAAAAAAAAAACACCAAAAGAAATCTAAAATGCACTCTCTATCTTAACAGTAGTGACAGTTACTGTTGTTTTCAAACAATTATATTTTAGAATAAAGAACATAAATTATATTAATGTTTCAGCAACTAAGATTGTTAGCATAAAACAGAGATACAAGTATAAAAATCAAACAAGAAAATACTCTGTAATTTGTCTGAACTATTATTATAAATTCATGATTCATGATTTACACTTTAAAAACAAGTTATTAGCTTTGTTCCCTGAAATGACCTAGATTAAATGACGGCCCTATGGCAATGAGAAACTCTAATGCCCAGACAGTGGTCACTGTACACTATATACCACAAGAGGAATCAGAACTCCTTAGAGAAATGGCTCATTTCAGGCCTGGCACAGGAAATGTAGAAGGTGATCTTGGGATCATTTGTTCTGCCAGAAAGCAAATCAGCTATCAACTCTACTAGAATCATGACAGAAAGACATAGAACTGCCTGGAAGGCCGGGCGCGGTGGCTCAAGCGTGTAATCCCAGCACTTTGGGAAGCCGAGACGGGCGGATCACAAGGTCAGCAGATCGAGACCATCCTGGCTAACCCGGTGAAACCCCGTCTCTACTAAAAAATACAAAAAACTAGCCGGGCAAGGTGGCGGGCGCCTGTAGTCCCAGCTACTCGGGAGGCTGAGGCAGGAGAATGGCGTAAACCCGGGAGGCGGAGCTTGCAGTGAGCTGAGATCCGGCCACCGCACTCCAGCCTGGGCGACAGAGCGAGACTCCGTCTCAAAAAAAAAAAAAAAAAAAGAACTGCCTGGAAAGGACTACCACTGGCTTAAAAAAGAGCAGTTTGATATAAGACAGAATAATGATCGCAACAGTTTGAAACATACGGTATTCAAAACAAACTCACTC